GCCTCCCTTCAGGGGGTCCGGCCCGGGCGGGGGGCCCCGAGCCGTTGCCCTCCTCGCTGGCCTCCGAACCCCATTTCCTGCTTTTTCAGTTTCCTTGGGGAGGGGCGGGTGGGTCTGGATGAATTGTTCCGGGGGGTCCCCGATGAGGCGGGCCGGGGGGCCGCTCTCTTTTTAGAGGGTCCCCGCAGGACCCGGGTGGGGAAGCGGTTGTGTTTGCATGGGTGGGGGACTTCCCGAGCCTGCTGGGACCATGACCTGAACTGTGCGAGCCGGACGTGTCCGAAGCCCGAGAGCCAGCTCACCTGAGCCGCCCCTCCCCCGGCCAGCATGGTAAGTAGGGTCCGAGCCTCTTCCCTCCCCGGGTGCCCGGTCTGAGCGGCGGGAGCGGGCCCGGGACTGCTGAGCCATCGCTTCTCCCCAGGGTGGGGAGAGGCGCGTGCCGAGCCCGGCAGTGACACATGCGTGCAGGGTTTGCAGCCCGGCTCTGAGCTCCCATCCCCCTCTCCCCCACCGCCAGGGATGGCTCGGGACTGGGAGGGACCTGGACACGCAGCAGGCACAAACCTTGCATCTGATATATTGGCCTCTTATATTGTAGTTTATCATAATAGTTATTATTTTTTGAGGGCTTCCTACGTATCAGACGCTGTGCTAAGTGATTGACATGTATTATTTAATTAGCACACCAGCCCTCTGTTCTGAAGTGGGGAGATTGAGGCAAACAGCAACTAGTTACCCAGCTCAAGGTCACTCCTAAGTGACAGTGGGACGATTTGAACCTAGGTAGTCTGATTTCAGAGCTCCTATTAGATCAAACACACATAACACAGATGGAGAGAGTTTTGTTGTAGATTTATATATGGGGCAGCTGAGAGGGTTTATGGTTTTCAGAGGTCATTTACCTAAATAATAGCAAAGTCAGGAATGTCGTATTCTTTTGACACCAGTCTGCTTTTCTTTCTGCTACACGCTCTGGCCTTTTCCCTGGTGGTGCCTGGAGAACTCTTCGTCCTTCCAGATCTAGTTCAGAAGCCACCTTTTCTGAAGATAACATTCCACGTTTTCCAGACCCACAGGCACTCTCAGTACTCCCATAGATTTGTGTAGTCACATCTGTTTTTAAGCATTTGTCTTATTGTTACTGTAATTATTTCTGAGACTTAACTTGTCTACTGCAGTAGACTCAGTTCCCTCAGAGATGAAATTGTCTGAAGTTTTATCTGGCCCAGCTCTTGGTGCATGGTAAGCCCGTAGGGAGTGATTGATTCCCTAGCCTGTGTTTGAGCACCTCCAGATACAGAAGTGTTCTTAAGGCTGCCTGTTTTACCCCTCCCATGTTAGGGGTTTAGTAGAGAAAGGGACGGAATGACATATGTAATGTTCAGGCCAGTGGGGTTTTCAGAACATTCAGGGGGCCTGTGGGTGATGTGTTAGGTGCTGGGCATAGAAAGAAAACCTAGGGTATAACCCTTGTCTTCGTGGAGCTTACAACTAGTCAGATAAAACACACCATTAATACAGAGCAGTACAATATAATAGATACTATAGGATAGTGGCAGATCAGATAATCTCTCAGTCTCGATTTCCTCAACTATAAAGTGTGGAGGCAGGAATTCTCTCTGAATAATCCACAGGTATGAGATATAATATTTAGTGAATGATGAAAATAGTACTCAGTGTTCCTTACTTCGTTTATTCTTTCAATGAATTTTCTTTTGCTTTTACTTTTAAATTGTGGTGTTATATGCATAACAAAACTTACCATTTTAACCATTTTTAAGATTATGGTTCAGTAGCATTAAGTACAATCACATTGTTAGGCATCCGGCCCCAGAAATTTTTTTCATCTTGTAAAACTGAAACTGTACTCACTGAACAACCCCCATTCACTTTTCCACCTGTCCCCTAGCAACCGCTATTCTACTTTCTGTCTATGAATTTGATTACTCTCATAAATAGAATCATACAGTGTTTGTCTTTTTATGGCTGCCTTATTTTACTTAGGATAATGTCCTCAAGGTTCATCCGTGTTGTAGCATCTGTCAGGATTTCCTTCCTTTTTAAGGCTGAATAATATTCCGTTGTGTGTATATCTCTCATTTTGTTTATCCAGTCATCTTGTTGATGAACACTGGGTTACTTCCACCTTTTGACTATTGTGAATAATGATGGCTGTGAAAATGAGTATACAAATCTTTTAATGAATTTTAAGTAGCCACTATATGCCAGGCTCTAGGGAATGTCAGGTAAACAAGAGAGACATGTACCTCCCCTCGGTAGCTTACAACATTGCTTTAGAACCTTTCGATAGAATTTTACTGGTTATGGACTTCAGCTAGCTAAGCACCCTTGTATTCAGGTTTCATTTTAATTGGCAGTCAGGAGAGCATTATAAAAATGACCTTTTAGCAATTAGTTGTAAAATAGTTGACTTCATGATCACCATTTACATTTTTTTCAGAGATAAGTTGTTTGTAATCTACCCCTCACTTACTTGAGCATGCAGAGGATGACCACAGCAGATGTAAGGTGAATAGGACTGTCAAATCGTGTCCTTTCTGCAGCACTGACACCAGGGGTTCATCTTCTGTAGGTGTCTCAGGGTTAGGAATGTGGGTGGGCAAATCTTGTACCCCCAAAACAAGGAAGTCATTGCCTGGTTTGTGTGTTACAGGATGGGAGTCTTTTGCCTGGGATCACGGTTCTAAATTGTTCCAGGAACTTTTTTCCTCTCTACTTATTAGTGACTAAACATTTTTACTTTAAAGAGTTGGCATGTAAGTTTGGGCCTTTTTAATATCTTCTTTCTAAAACTTCTACACTAATAAGATGGAAATGGTGTAATATGATAAAACTACCATTTATTAAATATCTTAGGCGGGTGAGTGTAGCTCAGTGGTAGAGCACTTGCTTAGCAGGCACAAGGTACTGGGTTCAATCCCCAGTACCTCCATAAAAAAAATTTAAAATTAATAATAAACCTAATTATCCCCCCCCACAAAAACATAACGTATCTCCACTAAGCTAGCTATATTTCATTTATTGGGTTTTTTTTTTTTAAGTCACTCAGTATCAGTTAAGTACACCAATCCTGCTAGGTACATTATTACCGTTACTACCACGGGGGAGATGAGCAGAGCTGCTGTAGGATACCTTTTTAACAAATGGTGGAGTCGACATTTGGGCCCAAGGTGCTCTACTCCCAAGCCTGTGCTCCTTGCAGTGCAGGTGCTGCCTGAGATGGAAGATGATGGGGAATGTCATCCAACTATGTTTTATTTGGTTCTGAGCCAGTAATGCAAGCTGGGGAGTATGGGAGTTTCTTTTAAACTGTCCCTCTGCGAGGAGGGATCTTGACCTGCAAATTTAGAACTAGTTAAAGTTTTGTAGCTTGCAGCACAAAATTACTAGAACAGTTAAACTAACTACATTTGATTAAATCATCATTTGGGGTTAAATTCCCATGAGTTCTTAGGTGATGTAACATCTTAGAGGTTCCCACTACTTCTCTGAAAAGTTGTTACTTAATATAGAATGAGCTTTGCTTATTACTGAAATTTTGTGGGAAATTGAATCCTTGCTTGAAGTAGCACTTTTTAAAGTAGTTTAGAAAATTACTTGGGTTACAAAGGCTTCTCATTTTTGAATTTTAAACTTCGTGAGTGATCCCTGTAACGGAGGCAAGATCAGATCTTAAATTTGGCCACTCAAATGGTGTTTCTTCCGTTTGTTCAACAGCTGTGTTATATTGTGCTCCCTGCAGTGAGAGGTATGAAGAAGCCATGGCGGTGGAGGGAGATGGCAGGAAAAGGTTCAGTGGTACTTAGAGGTTCCCTCTGGCAGTCTCGACATTAGAGATAGTCTGGGAGACTATCAAGAAATGACCTGAACAGCTTTTGAAAAAATTAGTACATGACATGGTTCAAATGATGAAATTACTTAGCTAACAACCTTCCCCAAACCCTGTTAATGTGTTTGAAGAAGTAACTTCTTGCATCAAGCTTAAAATCCTGGGTACTGTGGATACAGTATTATAATGAGATAGTTTATATTTGTAGGGCTTAGCATATGCCAGGCTAATGAGTTTACATATGCTAACTCGTTTACTCTTTCAAGCAGTGTCAGGAGGCAGAGGCTATTCTTATTTCCCATTTTATAAATGAGAACATTCAAGGCCCAGAATAGTTAGGCAACTTTTCACGGTCACTCTGCAACCAAGTGGTGGAACTGGCATTCAGAGCCAGACAATCTGGCTCCAGAGTCAGTGCTCTTAAGTGTTAAACTTTTTACCCCAGGAGGGGTAATATTGCTCCCGCCCTCTAGGAGTCGGTTTAGTGAGGAAATGGGACATGTTCTGATAATTACAAGAGACTGTGGTAAGAGTGACCATAGTAGATAAATGCATTGGTACAAAGGGGCCTATCTGAGGGAGATTAGCTGAGGAGAGGGGCCAGGAGGAATATTTGAGTTTTGAAGGATTAGGAAGAGTTTGAGTTTCACAAGGAAAAAAGGGGCTTTCTACTTAAAAGTTTGCAGATAGTTATGAAGATTAGATATATATCAAGAAAGATCATAGAAAATAATAGGTGTCAAGGGTTGAAGTGAAGGAAGGAATTAACATTTGAGTGCTTAGGGCATTTTAGGGCTTTATGTGCATATATGCACTCACAGACATGCTATTTTTTTCTCATCATGAATGCCTTTACTGCTACTTTCCTGGCCAGCTACTGCCCCATTTCCTTGTTCCTCTTTGCAACAAAACTCCAGGAAAGAGTGGTTTCTAATTTCTCACCTTCTACTCTCTCTTAAGCTCACTTGTCAGGCCCAGCCCCCACTGTTGTTAAACGCAGTAGTTCGTCCTCATCTTACTTGATCTGATGTAGCACTGGACAAGTTGAATACTCCCCCTTCTGTTAGGCCTGCCTTCCTCCCTCCATCCCTCCCTCCAGAAATGTTAAGTCTTTCTTCACTTGGCCTCCAGGACACTGAAGTGTGCTTTTGGTTTCTCCACATCTTGCTGGCTATTTCTGCCTCATCCCACTGATCTTTGAACAGCTGGAATGCCCTAGGCCTCAGACTTGGTGAGCTCCCAGGCCAGACTTCTCCCCTCAGCTGCAGTTGTGCCTACTTGATATGCAAGCTTGTATGTCAGGCCCTTCAAATGTAATATGTCTAAAAATCAGCTCTTGATCTTCCCCTCTAATTCTTTTCCACTGACAGCCTTCTCTATCTTAATTGGGGACAACTCCAGCTTCTAGTTGCTCGTGCCAAAAACTTGGAAGTCATCCTTGAGCTTGCTTTCTCTCACACTATACATCTGGTCCATATCA